AGACTTTGCTGAAGACGATCCTTTAGGCAGGAGACTTTGCTGAATACGATCCTTTAGGCAGGAGACTTTGCTGAAGACAATCTTTTAGGCAGGAGACCTTGCTGACGACAAACTTTTAGGCAGGAGACTTTGCTGACAACAATCTTTTAGGCAGGAGACTTTGCTGACAACAATCTTTTAGGCAGGAGACTTTGCTGACAACAATCTGTTAGACAGGATACTTTGCTGAAGACAATCTTTTAGGCAGGAGACTTTGCTGAAGACAATCCTTTAGGCAGGAGACTTTGCTGATGACACATTGATTCATTTAGACCTAACTTACAAACAACATCAGAAATACTATGGAAAAGCTAATCAGATGCGTACTTTATACAATTATTGGTATGATTATGTTACATTTTGAAAATTAACCATTTCTAAATCTTGCTGATTTATTATTGATTTTTAAAATGAGAACAAAATCTTCAAATAAATGTTCAACTTTAAGATCTACATGTTGATGTAAGCTAAGTAAGTATATTATGTGACAGTACTAAATAAACAAGTAAACTGGAGTGATTCACTATTACTCTAAACAATATCCCAAGAAAATACAGTGTAGAGGTGAAATATTAAACAAATAAATTATATAGTTTGTATTCTGTTATAGGTGAATCACATATCGTGAGTTATAGTCATAAGGTGAACGTGAACAATCATGCTGCTTCACAATACAGTTTGTTTTTCTGGTGTCACGAGCTACACTCATGAGGTGAACATGAACAGTTATGCAGTCTCATAACACGTTTGTGACAGTGTGTTTTCCTGGTGTCATGAACTATGCCCATAAGGTACTCATGAACAATTGTGCAGCCTCACAAAACATGCTTGTTACAGTGTGTGACTAAATAAAAATGGTTTTTTAAGACACTGTTATATCCTCTTGTTATATTGTGTTGTTTTATTGTATTGTTTTAGGTGTGACAGAGTAAAATGTTTTCTTGGAGGACACTGTTACATCCTATTGTTATATTATTGTATTGTTTTAGGTGTGACAGAGTAAAACTTTTCTTGGAGGGCACTGTTACATCCTATTGTTATATTTTATTGTATTGTTTTAGGTGTGACAGAGTAAAACTTTTCTTGGAGGGCACTGTTACATCCTATTGTTATATTATTGTATTGTTTTAGGTGTGACAGAGTAAAACTTTTCTTGGAGGGCACTGTTACATCCTATTGTTATATTATTGTGTTGTTTTATTGTATTGTTTTAGGTATGACAGAGTAAAACTCTTATCTTGGAGGGCACTGTTACATCCTACTTCATAGTATTATTTCTAAAAAAATGTTTTCTTTTAGTCAAAGAAACCAGAATGGAGTATGCTGTTTTTGGAATTCAAGAGAACCATTGCCCTTCTTGAAGAAGTGGAATCCTTGGACTCGAAATATCCCCTGGATTACCTTAACTTCGCATCCTCTTGTTCAGCAAGATGGTCACAGCAAGGCTAACTACGATATCGATAACTTTTCTAAAACCTTGGTAGAGCTTCTGGACAATAAGAAAACCTGTGAGATAAAGTATCAACCTGTGATTATTGAAAATTACCTAGGCCTTGTCTCTGCTTTTCACAATGCAAATCATTTTGGTTTCTTTAAGTCCCATGGAAAAGTCAGTTTCTAAACACCTTATTAAGCATAGTTGTTTACCTCTATACACTGTCATGCACGTAGTTGCTGTGATGTTCAATAAGTGTAAGTGTCAAAAGTCTCACCTGTACCTGTTTTGGAATTTCTAATAGTGTACATGCTTTTATGAAAAGTCTCTAGCTTGAACTACCCAAGATGTTTACAGTCCATGTTTATGTATATAGTAAATTGTTATTGTGAGATGATAAAAACTATGAACATTTTAAATATCTACTTTGCTACAATGGAACCAATAACTGCTCTAGGTTAAATATAGTACAATGTTCACTTTAGGTAAGCAGTCAAGACTTGTACAGTGATAGTTTCCTGTTAAACAAATGTATATTACTTTGTTAGTTAGTTACTATTTTGTTTATTCACATCATTGCTCAATAAATAGAAGAGTTAAGGTTTACAAGTGATGTTATTTAAAGGTTTGTTGTTAAACCAAGAAGATTAAATGTTTTAACTGTTAATGATCTGAAGTTTGGTAAATAATATAACTTATTTAAAGATTGGAAAATAGATAGTGAACAGAAAATATTTGTGATCTGAGTTTTTGTGATTGAATACTGACTAGAAGGTATTATTGATAAGAAAAATATTTTGATGAATATATTAGAAATGTTAATAATCTAAGATGTGATCAAAGTATAGAGGCTGGAGGGGGGGTCTGAGTTTGGTATAAATGTATTAAACAGGAACATCAGTTATTTCATATGTGGTAATAGTTTGGTGAATATATTGAACAGGAACTTCAGTAATCTCAGATATGGTAAAAGTTTGGCAACCAGGGGGATTTGGTGGTCTGAGGCTTGGTGAATACATATTGACCAGGAACATTAATAATCTATGGTAAAAATTTATCAACCAGGGGGGTTTAGTGGTCCGAGGCTTGGTGAATATGTGTTGACCAGGAACATTAGTAATCTTAGATATGGTAAAAGTTTATCAACCAGGGGGGGTTTGGTGGTCTGAGGCTTGGTGAATATGTGTTGACCAGGAGCATTAGTAATCTTAAATGTGGTAAAAGTTTAGCAACCAAGGGGGTTTAGTGGTCCGAGGCTTTTATGAATACAATTATGTGTTTCATTAGTAAATGTTAAGAGTAGATGGAGCTTCACTAAGTATGATGGGGTTTTCTCTAACAATTATGGAGACAAGAAAGGCTTAACATGAACAAGTACAGTTTTATTTTTGTATTAGTAAATATGAAGATTGGAAACACTGAGGTAAATATAAAACAAACCTTACATTAATAAGTTTGGACAGTTTTCTTTAGTAAAAGTAAAGAGACTAGAAACACTTAAGAGTTTTAAAAGTTTTTCTTTAATTAGGAATGTAACAATATAAGTAGGCCCTGATATCTTATTCACAAAATGATACACTCCACAACAACAAACTTCTGTAATTGAAATACATTTTAATTTGTTTTTTTTACTACAAATTGAATTGAAACACCAAACATAAACTTCAATCACAATGATGATATATATAATAATGTGTTAAATGGTACTCTAAAGTAATGCATAATCAGACTATTAAAATTTTTCTTTTTTTAAGTTTATTGTATGGTTCACAATTACCAGTATAGGTCTATTATAAGTAAAATACTTCTGTAAACAAAAACTGCATTACCAGTGTATACTTATAGAACCAGTGCAAGATATACATAATTGTCCTAACATGGTGTTCCTATATCTTCATCATCTTGGAATTCTACAAATTACATTTTTGGTTTATATAAAATTGACAGTTTTATAGGAGGATTATTTACTTTTTCTACTTAGAAAGGTATTGCAAATATGACAGAAGTTCTCTATCATGATTCACGTTGGGAAAAATACCATGATGTGCTT